ACATAAGTAATCCGATTTATGTGAGGGCTAGGATACTGCCCTGGTGCCCGAACCGAAGCAGGTGGTTTTCTTAGGGGACTACACTCCGGGCTTCTGACCTACAAGTCTAATGCACAAGGAAGCGCAGCAACGTGAGGAGATGAAGTCCCATGGTAGCCGGTGGCCAACAATTGGTTCACACGCCACTTGTTCCCTCACGATCCTGGAGCCCATGTGCACCATTCGTTTAAAATCAGGGGTTCCTAGTCCCCCTAGGTGGATCCTACATATCCACCAGCCCGGTTGAAGCACCAGAAATTCGCTTTTTGTCCTCTCAATTTCGTAAATAACACCCCTGTTGCGGGAAGACAGTGAGTATGACTTCCCTGGAAGTGGTTGTGTGCACGTGGCCATATGAGAGCATTTTAAGAGCTTCATCTCCCCACTCTTGGCCGTACCAGGGTGTTTGGGGGCCATGTGTTACGTACACCCAACCACCGTTCACCTCAACGGGTTTGTTGTCTAATGTAGAAGTAGGCTAGAAGAAACCTTATTTACTTACTCCAGCTCCTTCCAGTTGTTATTCATCCTTTCCATATCTGCTTTTATTTCCCGACGTAATGTGTTCTTTGGCCTTCCTCTTTTCCGCCTTCTTTCAGGATTCCAAGTTAGGGCTTGTCTCGTGATGCAGTTTGACGATTTGCGTAGTGTATGTCCTATCCATTTCCATCGTCTTTTGCTAATTTCCTGTTCAGCTGGAAGCTGATTTGTTCTCTCCCATAAAAGGCTGTTGTTGATGGTATCCGTCCAATTGATGTTGAGTATCTTGCGTAGACAGCTATTTATAAATACTTGTACCTTCTTGATGGTGGTTGTTGTAGTTCCCCGAGTTTCAGCTCCTTACAGTAGAACTGTCTTGACGTTCGTATTGAAGATTCTCACTTTGATATTGGTTGACAGACAGTTGTTTTGAGTTCCATATGTTTTTCAATTGAAGGAATACGACCCTTGCTTTGTCAATCCTCGCCTTTACGTCTGCATCTGAACCTCCTTGTTCATCGATGATACTTCCCAGGTATGTGAAGGATTCTACATCTTCCAGAGTTTCGCCATCAAGAGTGATTGGATTGCTGTTGTCCGTGTTGAATTTGAGGATCTTGGTTTCCCCTTTGTGTATGTTGACGCCTACTGATGCAGAGACTGCTGCTACACTGGCCTTCCCAAACTGCATTTGTTCGTGTGTATTAAATACGAGGGCTGAGTCAACTGCGAAGTCCAAATCGTCTAATAGGTTCTGGGCTGTCCATTGTATTCCGCGTCTTCCCTCAGATGTCGAGGTCTTCATGATCCAGTCGACCACTAGAAGAAAGAGGAAGGGAGAGAGTAAACAGCCTTGTCTGACTCCGGTCCTTACTGGAATGCATCTGTCAGCTGCCCTGCATGCACGACCTTGCACTGTAGTCCGTCATATGAGTTCCGGATAATATTGACAATCTTCTCAGGAACTCCGTAGTGTCGAAGAAGTTTCCATAACGTTCTCCTATCTACACTGTCAAACGCCTTTTCATAATCAATGAAGTTGATGTACAGTGACGAGTCCCACTCAATTGATTGTTCGACGATGATCCGTAGTGTCGCAATTCGGTCTGTGCACGACCGATCCTTACGGAATCCAGCTTGTTGATCTCGATGTTGGGTGTCTACTGCGTCATTCATCCGGTCCAGCAACACTCTGTCAAAGACTTCTCCTGGTACTGACAGTAGTGTAATGCCTCTGTAGTTTTCACATTTGCTCTGATCTCCTTTCTTTGGAATCTTGATGAGGTGTCCTTCTTTCCAGTCCATCGGCACTTGTTCCTCCTGCCAAATCTTTTTGAATAGAAGGTGAAGCATTTTTTATAGTTACTTCAATGTCCGACTTCAGTTCTTTAGCTGGTATATTGTCGGGTCCTGCTGCTTTCCCGCTCTTGATTTGTCTGATGGCCATTCTGATTTCTTCCGTCGTCGGTGGATTGACATCTATAGGAAGATCTGTGTGTGCTGCTTCGATGTCTGGTGGATTCGTTGGAACCGACCTATTCAGGAGTTCCTCGAAGTATTCTACCCATCTGTTCCGCTGTTGTTGAATTTCAGTGATTGGCCTTCCTTCTTTGTCCTTGACCGGTCTCTCTGGTTTACTGTATTTCCCTGCTAGTTTTTTCGTTGTATCGTAAAGTTGTTTCATATTTCCTTCTCTAGCAGCTTTTTCCATCGTCGTTGCTAGTTCTTCCACGTATTTCTTCTTGTCGGCTCTAATGCTTTTCTTCACTTGCTTGTTTACTTCTACGTATTCAGCTTGTGCTTGAACTTTCTCTGTTCGTGTTCGACTGTTGTTAATAGCTGTCTTCTTGTTCTTCCTTTCTTTGATCTTGTCCAGTGTTTCTATAGAGATCCATTCCGTATGATGATGCTTCTTGAGGCCCAGAACCTCGTGACACGCTGAACTTAATGCTTTTTGATACTTTTCCAGTTGTCCTCCATAATTATTTCTTCGTCCTTCAGTAGGTCCTGTAAGGCTTGTAACCTGTTGTTGAGAGCTATTTGAATTCATTGAGTTTGTTAGTATCTCGAAGGAAGGCTGTATTGAAAATTTGTAGTGCTGATTGTCCAGTTGTCCAGTTTTTCTTTAGCTTCAGTTTTAAATTGGCCACAACTAGGTAGTGATCTGAAGCTATATCAGCTGCTCTCCTGGTTCTCACATCTTCCATTGTCCTTCGGAATTTTTTTATTGATGCAGATATGATCTATCTGGTTCTCTGTAATGTGGTCCGGTGAGATCCATGTAGCTTTGTGTATACGTTTGTGTGGAAATATTGTGCTTCCCATGACCAATTTGTTGAATGCACATAGATTTGCAAATCTTTCTCCATTTTCGTTTCTCTCTCTCAGTTCATGATATCTTCATATTCGGTGTTGTCTGTTCCAACTTTGGCATTTAGATCTCCCATCAGAATGATGAGGTCCTTTCTTGGGCACTTCTCTATGATTCACTGCAGCCGCTCGTAGAATTGATCTTTAATGTTTTCGTTGCTATCATTGGTGGGTGCATAACATTGGATAATATTCATTGTGATCCCCTCCTTCTTTGTTGTGAATGATGCTTTGATGATTCTGGATCCGTGAGATTCCCATCCTACCAGTTCATTTCGTGCTACTTTGGACAGCATTAGGGCAACTCCCTGAGTGTGCGGAGCATTTTCCTCTCCATGACTGGAGTATAGCAGCATCTCTCCCGTAATTAGCCTTTGTTGTCCAGCTTGGGGCGGCCAAACCACTGACAACTGGTCCGAACGGTTTTAAATAGGTGTAGACTACCTGGTTGGGGTCCGCGTGATTATCCTAGTCAATCGTTAGATACTTCAGATGGTATGGCTCAAAATCGTTCGCAGCGGTGCAGGTATATCCCTTATTTGTCTTCCTCGAAACTCTGACTAAATTTCCCTTTTTTTTGTGTTTTTACTTCGCCGGTTTATTATTTTTTTCGAATGATATCTTTTATACCCAGTCTTTTCGATCACTACTCTTACTGTTGCTACCTCTACTATTATGAGATTTGCTCTGACAGTTTCGTCTCTCTGTGTTAATGGGATATGACAAATTGAACCGATGTACATACGTACCAGGTTCTGTGTTGTCACTGACTGATTGACTTTTATCACGAACCAACATAGGCTTTGATGCCAAAATATTTAACCATGTGAATGAATAGATTTCGTGCCAAAATCCAAGACTTGCCACCAGTAATTTCACTATTTCTCCCATAGTTTAAAGTCTTGCCTATCTCTCCGTGTATTAGGTTTTTTATTTTTTCAAGCTGTCTTGGTGTTAAAAGAATTTAACCACATTAAGTCACATATCCATCATTACCTAACTCTAATTTAGTTTAGTCTTCAAAATGACATATTGAACTATTTGAATATTCTATGCTTAACCAAACTATCCACAACATCCTGTTCGTCCTTTTATTAATTCATCCCACTCATTATTTGTTATCGTGCTTTAGTGAAGTATTTTGGCTTCAGTATTGGGTATATTTTTCGGTGTGTCAAGCAACCCTATCGTTATATACTCTCGTTGGAATCTAAAAATCAACAGACTGATTTACAGCTTGTTACTGATGGTCACTGGAAAATTTTTGTGTTATTTTATAGCTCTTCTGTTCGTTATTGTTTATAACCAAGTATTTACTTTCCTTTACCTATTGAATCCTCAAACTAGGTTAACCTTTCCTCGGAATATAGTACCAATGTTCTTCCTCGAGCTTACATTTTAATGGAAATAAAAAATAGACGATTTCGAGCTTGTGTGTAATATATTATAAATCATACCTCGAGATGTTTCTTGCTCAATTTTGATTAATCGATGAGTCTTTAAACCAGTACATTCATAATTTTCATCGTTTCTGATCTCTGAATATTTTGGAGGCTTAAAGATCACAAAAAATGTGATTAACAATAAATGTTAGTGGCTGTTAATGTAACCGTTATCTAATCGTATAAGCAACTCAACCTTTGTTTAGTAAATATGTGCACAAATAGTTGCATGTAGCCGTAACAAAATAATTCTTGTGTTTGGATGGTGGAAGCCTTATCTACCAACAATGTCTTTTTCGTTGCACTGAGCCATCTCAGTTTTTGTTCTTAATCTCTATTCCAAGTTATAACAGTGAAAATCGAAGTTAGCTACATGAAAGCTCATGCTTGAAAATGATTTTAGCCTTCATAAAATTTCGAATTTGAGATGATTGCTAAAGTAGAATTTAAAAAAGGACCACGTTATATTGAACAGAATCACATCAAAATGTTGTTGAATAGATAGTCAAAATCCATAAATGTCAGGGAATTTAGAAATTTATGGAGTAATATTTTATTGTTCAAAGGTTGGTTTATTTTACTTTGAATATTTTAAGAAGAATACTACATTTAGGTTACTTACATGTTAGCTAACTCATTTTTACTACTTTGTTTTTTATGCCACACTAGCTTTCTATTTAGCATTGATGGGTATTTACAATCAATATATACAGGAGCGTCATTTCCGTCATCGTTTGGCACGTTCACACAATCTAATTACTCACCTTATGCGTGACCTGATCCGTAACCAATCAAAGCAGAAGTTATCCAACTGTATATCCAAATCTGGGGTAATCAAAAGAGGATGCTACGCCAAACGGTCGAGTCATCTAAGTGTTTCTCGAATCAAAAAGGTTAATCGGAAATTATGTTACAGTGATAGTTTCAGGGAACGAGAAACTGCATATTCCCCTAAACTAAAAAGTTGTGTTGATCAGATTAGTGATTTTAATTTTAATTCTAATGCTATGATAAGTGAACTTGTGGACGCCAAAGTTTTCGGTCAGTCCCTAGCTTTGACACAAAACCATTTGGATTGTTCATATGAATCAATACCGACGCCTAATCTACAACAATACTGCATATCCCACCAGATTTTGGAAAATAATAATAAGGATTCCTCTACAGCCAGTTTAAATATCCATGGAATAAGTAAAAAATTTGCTGTACCGAATGTCACTAAAACACTTCTTGTCCGCGGTGATTCATGGCTAACTGAGTCTTGTACCTCATCAGAAATCCTTGACTCCGGTATTAGTTCTGCAGAATCCTCTTCCAATTCTACAACTTCGTGTGGCAATTTTAGTGACCAGTTAAATTCAAACCCCCTCAAATCAACCATTGATTTGCAGCTATCCAGTCAAACAGTTTCTGCTCGCCCTCGATCTAATTCCGATTCCGCTTATGATACCGGTATATTGAGATTAAAGACCAAATATCCTAGCTGGAATGATCAAACCCTACCATCAAATAGATTGACCAACAGTGCATTTTCAGAGATTGATCCTGTGCAAAACGTAATTGGATGTCTTTTTCAATCTGCTGAAGAAGTAAAGACTCCCTTGTTTGCACCTCGGAGACGGCGTCGGGGACATCCACCCAGAAAATTTAAAACGATATCATGTTTATCTCAACAAAATACACAAAATTTCTTGAAGTAAGTTATTATTTAATAAATATAATAATATCTTTATCTATAACTTCACATACCACTTTTCCTGTTTTTACTTATGAATATAAAGTTATTGGTGTACGTAGATATTTTTGGAGTTAATGTTGATACTTACCGTTAAAATCTAACTTCCTTGCACAAGTAAAGATAAGTGTATTTGGATTTTAACTGTACAATGTTTTATGAGAAATAGAGGTACTAACTGATCACCCCAACTGAATTTGGTTACTGAACTGGTAAAAATAGAGTGCTAGAAATGTTATCAACCTTGGAAATATAAGTATGTTTTTGCATATGCTACCAGTTGTCCTGGTATTTTGGTAGCCACCTGGTGAAATGATTTTATGAAAATACTCCTACTTGTATGTTGGAAGGTGTCCCATTCTGTCCAAAGTAGCCTTGATTTAGGTTAAGTAACTGACCAGTTTGTTCACTTTATGATGAAATAACAACGTTTCACATATCCGGAAAAAATCCACTATTGTAGTAATATTCTGAAAGTCTACTGTATTTGTTGTTAAAACTATCAAGCTTAATCTACTGCCACTCCGTAATCAATATTGTGGATACATTGTAAATGTTCAAGTAGCTCACTCTATTGGCCCGGTCAGCTTTTGGAAATTAGACACTTCTCATTCAGGTTGTGAAGAGAATAGTCACATCGTTATCCAAAATATACGTATGCTTATTGTATACCAGTAATATCTGTTTCTAAAGAGCTGTATTATTATTGACTCGTAGATGGGGAAATTTCCCTATAATTGTGTTCATTATCGCCCTTCTGATTACGCAAGCTGAATTAGATTGTATAAAAATCAACCACACTAAACTGTACTGTAAATACACTACAGTGAATATCCTGTTGGTAATGCACTAGGTCTCGTCTACAGTTGTCTAATATTTTCTTGAAGTTGTCTTCGATTTCCAATATGTACCTATTAAAGTTTGTCAGATAACCTTAAAATATTTCTACTGGCGTACATTTGGATGAATATAGGTATACTAGACGGAAAAAACTAGGATGCGATTAATTTATAGAATTACCTGGTCGGTCATAAAACTTCATCCTTTGATATAATCCAAGTCCTTTTTTGTAGGTGTAACATATCAAACTCTGAAAATGTTAATATTGAATCTTGTGGAGAAATTCAGTATCATACACCTGGGAATGAGATACTTCAGATTGGTATTTCATCGAATTCGGATATATATAATTCTCTTAAAAGTCTTACATGGCTCGCTGAAAATGTAGAGACCCCGTTAACGGTCCCCGTACATCGCCGTCGTGGACGTCCACCTCGTCATCCTAGAATACCATCTTCTATTCTCAAAGTGTTTATAGTGCTAAAAGTTGTGAAAAAACGTTTCTTACGTAAGTCATTTTTATCTTAGTTCAGAGATTAGTATTTCCCTAAAGTTTCTATTTTTCTAAATTCCATATGACAATGGTCTGTTGACAGTACACATTCGTTGATGTATCATCTGACAAATAATCGATTATTCATGCATTCTGTGAGATAATTTTCCGAAAACCGGGAGTTAGGAAAACTCAACCGTACGGATGAATCGCTGACTCTGGTAGAACTTTGAGGATCAGTCTAATTGAGTTTTAAGGGTTTTCTAACTAACCGAAATTCAATCTTATTTGAATTGGGATGCTAGAAATAAATCAACATAACTTTGAGTTAAATAAGCTAACTAACCTTTTCAACATTAAAGAGAAACTCATTCTCATTGGAATAACAATCAATGTAATTAAAATATGATTACTATCCGCCGATGAAAATGTTAATGGCAGATTATAAATAAAAGTAGGAAAATAAGTTAAGTTCAAAGTGTTCCTAGGTCGAATAAAGTAAGATACCGAATTCATTCTTAAACCTTGTATTACTTCTGGGTAGTCAATAAAGTCAAAATCGTGTGCTCCTCAAAGTCAAAAGATATCATGTGACGTGATCACTTTAATAACTTGAATATTTCAATAAAACACTTCTTCCCTACGGAGTCATATCAATTTTTTCACAAGAAAATCACTATATATATATATACATATATATATATATCCTCAACGTAACATGCTCTTCACAGAATTATTTTGTCATTTGTATCCGTAAACAATTGACTATTTTCTTCTTGTTCAACTTAAAGGCATCCTCAGTGGCTGAAACCATTCTTTCGTTATCTTTCTACGTCAGAAGCAGAAACATTCCTTAAAAATTTAGAACGTAAGTATGAAATATTTTAATGGAAAATATATTTATCTTTTCAAGCGCATAAATCTTAGAACATAACACAAACGAAAACTGAATACTGTAAACAAACAAAGGAGAGACTGATAGTGCAGTCAACAAATAAATAAGTAGAAATATCATGTAGTAAAAGAGAGTTCGGTTAAAAATACATCCAAGAAAGGTTTCTTCCAGTTAAGGACGCTTATCTCACTTTATGAAGTGTACAATAAAACCCTAGGGTTGCCACAGGCTTCTTATCTGAACTATATTTGGTACCATCAGAATCCATTGATTTGCATAACCATGAATTCGAAAATGCCAGTCCTATATGGTTACCCTTCATAGCACGACACTTACTTACCTACTTACGCCTGTTACCCTTCATGGAAGAGCATAGGCCACCCACCAACATTCTCCAACAAACTTTATCCTGGGCAATCCTCTTCAGTTGTTTCCAGTTGCTATTCATTTTTTTCATGTATGCTTCCATTTCTCTCTGCAGTGTGTCCTTTTGCCTTCTTTCTTTCCAATTCAGGATTCCAAGTTAAGGCTTACCCCGTGATGCAGTTTGATGATTTCGGTAATGTATGACCTATCCACTTCCAACATCTTTTCCTAATTTCCCCCTTCATCTGGAAATCGGTTTGTCCTCTCTCACAGTAGGTTGTTGCTGGTGATATCCGGTCAACAGACACTGAGTATCTTGCGTAGACATTTGTTTACAAATATCTGTACTTCTTTGATGATGGTTATTGTAGTTCTAGAAGTCTCAGATCTGTAAAGTAGAACTGTCTTGACGTTTGTATTGAAGATCCTGATTTTGATATTGGTTGACAAACAGTTGTTTAGAGTCCCATATGTTCTTCAATTGTAGGAATGCTGTCCTTGTTTTGTCAATTCTTGCCTTTACATCTACATCAGATCATCCCTCTTCGTTGATGATACTGCCCAGGTACGTGGAAGTTTTCACCTCTTCCAGAGCTTCTCCATCAAGTGTGACTGGGTTGGTGTTCTCTGTGTTGTATTTAAGGATCTTGCTTTTTCCCCTGTATATGCTGAGGCCTATTGATGAGGAGGCTGCTGCTCCACTGGTTGTTTGAACCTTCATTTGTCAATGTGTATGAGATAGAAGGGTCAGGTCATCTGCGATGTCTGGGTCATCCAGCTGCATCCAAGCTATCCATTATATTTCGTGCTTCCTCTGAGATGTAAAGGTCTTCATAATCCAGTCAACCATCAGAAGAAAGAGAGAAAGGGTGGGAGCAAGAAATCTTGTCCGACTCCGGTCCTCACTTGGAATGCACCTGTCATCGGTTCCCCATACACCACTTTGTAGTGTAGTCCGTTGTATGAATCTTGTATGATGTCGACGGTTTTCCCAGCTAAAGCATAGTGTTGAGGACGATTCCACAAGGTTCTCTTATCCACACTGTCTAACACTTTCTTATAGTCAGGGACGTTGATGTGTGGTGACGAATTCAATTGAAGTGATTTCTCAACAATGATATGTAGTGTGGTCTGTGCACAACCGATCCTTACGAAATCCGGTCTGTTGATTTCGAAGTTGGGTATCTACTAAATCTTCCATCCGGTTCAACAACAATCTATTGAGAACTTCAGTTACTGATAGTAGTATGATACTATTGTATTTGTCACACTTGTCGAGATCTCTTTTCCTTGTCCTTCTTTTCAGTCTGTCGGTAGCACTTGTTCTTTCTTTCTTGCTGTTCAGCACCTCCAGACACGTTGAAGTTAGAGCTTCTTTGATCCCTCTCCAGTTGTTTTCCATAATGCTTTTCTGTTCTTTGGGTAGATCTCACCATTCTCGTTCGTTTCTCCCAGTCAGTCTATGCCGACACATGATATCTTCATAACCGTTGTTGTCCATTCCGACATTGCCGTTTCGACCTCCTATCAGTATGTTCAGGCCCTTTCCTGAACACTTGACTATGATCGATTGCAGCCTCATAAAACTGATCTTTATCGTCATCATTGCTATCACTGTTGGGTGCATAAGATTGGATAACATTCCCTACCTCTTTGTTTTGAATGATGCTTTGATGATCCTGTGTCCATGAGTTTCCCAATGTGTAAGGGCTTTGCGTGCTTGTTTGGTCAGCAACAGATAAACCCCCTGTGTAGAGAATTTACTTATTCGTGACCAAAATAAAACAGCATCTTTTCTGTCCAATTTGGGTCCAATGGGTTCCATGTATTCGGAAAACCGCCAAATTGTATCTCCTCATTTCTTTTGCTGTTTGACTGGTCCTCCCGATCTCTCACATTGTCCGAACATTCCATGTATCCATAGTATTGTTTGTTGTGGTTGTTAGGAGGAACATCGGCTTCGTGACTTCCTAAGAATCTCTGCTTTCACTATGAGGCGTCATAGTTCTTCCTTCAACTCGGAGGGCGAAGTTTAAGTTGTTTGTTCTGGTTAGCGTTTTTTAGCAAAGTTGTTTTCCACAGGATAAGGTTGATGACCCTATGTCCAACCCACTTTAGCCGGTCATGGGACCGGCAGTAGATCTAGAAAAGCTACAGGCGGAGTTTCATAGCACGACAGCGTGCCATAAACTAACCACCTCTCTGCTTCTTCTACCAGATTCCAGAGTCGGGAAATAATGCACAAATGGAGGTCTCTGGGGTGATATTCATAATACGTAACCGAGCGACAGAAGTTTGTGTTTCAATATAGTTACGCCAATCAGATGATCGTTACTGCGCCCAAATACACATTGCCAGACTACTGCATTACTAACATGGTGTTGGTCCTGAAAGTAAGAAAACCATCGGAGACCGACAATCGGATACGGAGAGTTGCTAAACCTCCTCGTCTCGAAGGCGCCAGGTTTACAAGCCCATGGTGTAACCGCTCTCACATACATGTTTTGAACTCGACTATGGTTGAATATGATGGATATAGAACTATATGACTTAAATCCTCTAGGTTAGTAGGAAAAAAATATTATTCTCCTAAGATGATATTGAACCTGTGTACGACTGTTACTGACTTGTTGTTCTTTAGAATGAGAAATTAAGTCTGATAAACAAACTCGTTAATACAACATCTCTGTGTATTGTCCTCCATATTAAATACCTTTGGATAGCTATTAGGTCAAAGCAATTTGTAAGAGTTCATACTCGAGCTTCATAAGAAATGTGTTTTCAATAATGGTTGGTTATGATGTTCTTGCCTTAACCCAGCTAACATATGGTCTATAACTAAAATTAACCTTTATTACCATCTCAATACTTAATCCCCTTAAAATGAGCTTTTTATTTCTTACTTCGATTCTACTTACTTAGAAATTACAATCGTAAAATAGTGATCGGTTTAACTTGTAGCTAAATTTTAATCCTGTTTATTTGTAGCCTAGCGCTTGATATTTGTTCAACAGGTGGTGTTAGGTTATAAATCCCTACATAAACCACATGTTTTTAGCAAAATATTTATCTGATATTTCACAAGAGAATCAACATTCATTTCATCGGTGTAAATATAAGTATCATGTAGATAAATGATGACGATGTGAGCTGACTTCTTTTGCGGTTACAAAGAACGTTGATGATTAGGCGAAAGTTCTGTTAAGGATGTGAAATACTATGTTATACTGTAACGCTCATTATAAGTTTTTTAAGATTAGTGCGTATGTTAATTCAGAAATTTGGACAGTTTTTAGTGTACTGACTTGAAACTGATAAACTACAAGCATTTCAAATATTTGGATGACTAGAATTCGAATAAATTACTTCACATAGGACAATGTTAATTCTTTTGTTAACAAGTTTGTTTTTTCTTACAGAATAATTCGTCTTCATTTATATCTGTTAATGTACTTTTATTGAAGGTGAACGCATACTACGTATTGAACTTAGTCAGCTGATACAAGATTACTGTAGATTCTCCATGAAAACAGGTGACTTTTATTCAATAGCATAAATTATTATATAACTTTCGAATAATTTGTTGAAAAGTGCTTTTCTCTCTTAGTCACTTCTTTCGTTTTATTAGTTAGATATTTCAGTTGTTACTTTTTCGTTTGATCTTGAGAAATTTTCACACTAGTCGAAAATAAATATACTCAAAACGTTTTGAACGTTCGCGATACATAATTGAGTTCTCTAGAGCTTGATTTTTTCTCGGCGTGATGTTTTATTCGTTTAATAACTCTAATCAGTCAACGTTTGTTTAAAGATTTTATTTTCATTCTTCAAAGTAGTTGTGGTAGGACAAGTAGCAAAGTAACCGACTCCCTTCTTATGAACACTTCTGAATATTAGAATGCATATATGGAAATTTATTTACCATATCATTCGAAATCAGTTAATTATCCTTTGTCATATTCACATACAATAGTTCAGTTATTTACATTAAACCTAATTGGTTTATTTAGAAAACACTGACCATTGAATCACATCTTAAATATGATTATTTAAAAATCGGAATTGTGTTCAATAACATATGTTTCGTTTGGTTGGAGAGAGCAGGGACGGAAATTTATCTCTATTCAGTCACCTAGTCAATATACGGGTGTTGATGTACTTCTGTTTATTGAAGAAATTTTGATAATTAACAGCCTAAAAGATTAAACAAAACTGGCTTAATAACTAAACACATTATATATACATAAGGTCAAAGCAATCCACGCACACAAACAGGAAAGTGCTTAGATATAAAAGTCCCCGAATGCCCTGGTACGTCCGCGGGTTAGGAGAGTCCGCTCTCCCTCACGAAATGCTCTCACATGGCCGTGCGTATACAACCGCTTCCAGGGAAGTTCTACTCACTGCCTTCTGGTGGCGGGGGTGTTGTTTACAAAATTGGGATGATGAAAAGTGGATGTTCGGTGCTTTAAACGAGGTCGCGAACGCAGAGGGCTTCAGGATCCTAAGGAAACAAATGGCATATGAACTAATTGTTGGTCACCGGCAATCATGGAACTGCATCTCCTAACGTTGCTCCACTGCCATGTGGATTAGCCCTGTAGGTCAATGGCTTGAGGTGTAGCCCTCTAAGAAAACCACCTGCTTCGGTCTGGGCACCCGGGGAGTATTCCAGCCCTCACACAAATCAAATGATTTATGTGGCACATATATATCTGGCGCCTCGTTGGACCAATGTTTATGTGTTTAAATAAGTGAATTTAAAATAGATAAGGAAGAAGTATAACCAAAGTCAAGTAATAATCGTATCTCTCATTTGTGTCCACTATGTTTCTCAACATATAATAGGAATGAATACTCAATAATTGGTTGCTAGTCTAAATTCATTTATGTTAACTGCTAGATACCCACTTGGTGGTCTAGAGGTTAAGTAACTTCTTGTTGCGGGACCTAAATATCCTGGATTCGATCCCTAGTAGGGTCGTTGATGAACACTGCCGAAAAGTTCCATACAAGAGCAAAAGTTGTCTAGTGCTCCCTAGTTTTCAATCGTTGCAGTATTGTCAATCTATAATGTAAAACTACAGATCCTGCGATTTCTAGTCCCTCGTGCTAAATTCAGTCACCTCAAGACGTCTTACAAATATTTCGAAATTCAAACAATCACTACTGTTTTAACTTGATTTGTTCCTTGTAACAATCATAAGTAGCTGGTATACATACATCCGTAATCTGATTGTTGTATTCGAGTTTACAAGACTATAATCCACCACAAATTTTATGTGTTCGGCTCAAAGCAACAGGTTTTGTGTGCGGGATAGTGATACTACGCGGCATCTCTAATTGTAATGAAAGAGAATCAGAGTTCAAACCTACGACTAAGTAGAATGATTTACCACTTCATTTAGCTGGTAATGGTTGGTCATTTCATCATACATTGCATCAAAATTTCACGTTTCTTAGTGTTTCATAACTATTCTGCTCATTCCTGCTTTTCCTCTACGTTTATTTTCCAACATGTATGTGGCTAAGCTGTGACCTGGTTAATTTAACTACGACTATTTGGTTAATCTAAATTTTCTTTCGAGTAATATTTCTAGCATACTCGTCGTCTGTTCAAATAATCACTTTTATGATGGGATAAAAAGATGACATTATTTAGGTCAATATTTTCTTGTGCCGATTTAGTATAAAATTCGCTCAATATGAAAAGTGTGAACTCTCGTTCAGTTTGACAATTATATTCTCTGTATCAATTCAGGTGCAAAATATTTATTGTGTTTGCTTTTACAATAACTCATTGTATTTCACCTATGTGATATTGTGTTCCTAATTTGCGTCACGATATTTACAATGGTTCTCTTTTTGAAGTATGTGTTTTAGGATCGAGAAATTGCAGGGGTTCTGAATTGTCAATTATGCGCAGTATGACTTTGAACTCAATAGTCTATGCGTACGTGACTGCGGTGATACACGCCCAGACAACAGAGACCGCCAGAGATATAACAACAAAGACTGGAATGTAATGATCACTCATTATGTTCACCGATAATCTCTTAATGATTTTTTATATATCTTAACAATCGGTAGGAGTGATCATTAAAGGCTTTTTTTCCCGGTTTACCAAATGAATCTTGAAACTGTAGTCTATAAATCCAAAACTGTTAGCCATAAATAGTGAAGGGTGTGGAATTTTCTCACAGAAAAATTGAGGGGAAGATGAGTGTGGAAAAAACGGTGGTAAACGTAATAAAAATGAGGAGAAATAGGAATTATTTGACCATTAAGCAGGCAATTGTTTCTCCTCACTTGCTTATGTATCCCAGTCTATTTTACTTCAATTAGTACTTTTTCAAAAATATTTTGGCTAATTACTTTAGTAAATGTAGTTCTCTATCATCATACAACTTAGTATCATTACCAAACTAACTCCAAACTCAATATTAAGGAAAAATTGCCTATTGTGAAACTATTTCTTATCAATAGTTTGTACTTCTTAGCCTGGTCTGATTTTCTTTTTTGTTTGATATGTTTTAGCGGTGACCGATTGTGTAGTTCGTGAGGATTCATCTAGTCGTTTCGATCTCTACAAGAATTTTTCATCATGTTCTTCCACCTCCACTTCTCCTCCGCCCGCGCCGCCATCTACTCCAATCTCCAAAAAGTCATCAACTTCATCTGTTCATCATCGGCTGTCCAGTTTTGTGAAGTTACGGAAACTTAAACGATCATTTAGTACAACTACGCGAAAACCGGTTCATAATTTTGCTTCGGATAAAAGGAACCAATATCGCAGTTTTGCACATTATAATAATCATAATCTTCGACGAATCAATTTCGCTAATAGAATTAATCAAAAAATTAGTTGTAAACGAACACAAACTGTTTTTAATTAATGTTCAATAATCTTTCTTAATATTTTAATTCTCAGGTTGATTAATTCATTGTTTATACAATGTTCTTCTCGCTGTGTGACCTAAACATATGCACACACAATTTCAGTTCTAATTGTTAATTTTAGCTAGGACCTTCTTTATTGTTAGCAATAAAATAATAATGAATTGTACATATCATTCTATGTACATTCCTAATACTAGAACTAATGAATTCATAATTAATATGAGCTGATAATTTGTCTTACTCTGCTTCACAAAATTAGACTTTTAAAAGTGACACTGAAAATATACGGTTTATTCAAAATGATTTTAAACCAACTAACAATACTTATTACTGTTAACCTGTACTCATCTCAATTTATTATTAATATTTGGTTGTCATCAAATTTATTTTGTTTGGCTGTGTCCTTCCTTGTTAACGTTTTAATAATCGAACTCCTAGTGTATTGGTATGCTTTGGTAGGTGACTGTTTATATCATTTTTAGATGTTTTTTTCATTTGTTTTCCTGTTACTTCTTGCTTAGATTGTTCCTTACTTCCACACGTTAATTCCTTCGAGTAAATCAACGATCAATTGCTCAAATTAACATTGTTTATATTATTAGGTTTTTAATAGGTGTTCCATTTGAAGACAAAGCAACGATCCCTTCGATTCCCAAATCAATTCATTAAGTGTTATATATATGGTACATTTATCCTGTATTACGTAAGGTGTTATAATACTACTTTTTATTCTGAATGCGTTTATGTATGTATATTGTGTTTTCTGTAGTTATGTTTCAATAATATCTTTATTATGCTTGTTATGCTGGATATGTTCAGAGTCATCTAGAAAAAGGATGTACAGAAAACTCAGAGCTATATTGCAATGACGTAGTATTATCCCGTCATAAATCCAAGCAGGAAATAAGAGATGTATATTTATAAAAGTTTAAGTTTTTTCGTTGCTGATATTAGAGACTGAAGTTTATCAATCTCAACTGGGATCCTGAGTGAATTACCTCAATAATGCCTTTACCTACGAATTTTTAGTTTTACATACATATAAATTAATACCCGTCAAACAATTTAGTGGCTATCTTGACTCACTGAATTACGCTCTAGGGTTTAAGTCGAAATTTACAGGAGGAAAGTCTCAGTACGAACATCAGCTGTGGGATACAAGCATATCTAACTAACTAGCCCTATTTAGGGAGAAAGACGCGTTTTGGATTCCAGTACTACGAGATAAAAGTGCTTTAACGGCCCGTAACAGTACCAATACATTTAAAATGATAAGTTGCTAATTTTCAACTGTGGTGCTTCCTGTTATGAAATTATCTGAACACAATTATCCCATTGTAAATCAATATGATTGGTTAGGCACAAAGTAAACAGTAAGAACAAGGGAATTAGCATAAGAAGAGCAAAAACTCTCGATAAGTAGCGCCCAATGGATTATATATATATTACTTTTTTCTTGTTAATTTACCACGTGCTACGTTTTCTGTATACTAAATACCTGATACTGTTCCCCATTCTTTGTAGGCATATAACCGGGTTACACCTGTTTTTAATTTTTCGACATAGCAAGAACTACAGTTCTAGTATGGTGAATGAGTTTATTAGACATAACTAAAAATAAATTTTTCCTAATTTAATGAGACATGCAAAATAATTATTTAATGATAATTGTATTTATTCCTAACTTATAAATTATAATTAATAGTTGAATTCATGAGTCGATCTAAGCTAAACCATCCATTTGGTGAGAAACCGTGAATAGTTGAGTCCAATCCGTGTTGCATGGAGACAGTTATCCACTACAGATAATAGATGGGGTTCGCGCAAGATCATGGACTGATTGGAGTTAGACATTAACACCGTTGGATGCCGACCCAGTGGTCTATGGTTAAGTGTTGGCGCACGATACCTAGGGTCCTTGGTTTGAGTTTCGGGTACGCGATTGTGGATACGAACTATTAAGGAGTCCCACACTAGAACGAAACGACCTTCCAGTGGTGGTTTAGGTTAGATCGACCCACGAATTCAACTAATAAAGTTACTACAATCTCCACGAATCCCCACTCTGATTATAAATTATTCGTTCACTTCCAGATTTCTGTCTAACAATGTTCTATTCTTTGAGAGGCTTTCGAATTCAGATTGGCCTCTCATCTCTGTATTCTTGTGACAAACTACTTTTAAAATCAACCCATTTGACTGTATTGCGTATATGTTGAATTACAATTCAACTCATAAATGGTGCTTTAATTATTGAAATTATTTGACTTCCAGCAACTGAGTCGAAGGTTTAGTGATGCCATGATCTTTCTCCGATTTGATCGTACGGTCGAAAAGTGTTGTTTACATATTGCGTAGGCTACATTGAGTTCGTTCATCGAAAATATAGAGTGCGGAAGGTTCTTCATCGATGTAATTTGCTGCGTTAAGTTCGTCATCGGGCTCATCCGTTCTGTGTGGCCCTATGTCTGAATCCAATCGTCTGCTGATTTTTATCGTGACATACATGCCGCCAACCCTCGTACATAATAATAGACTTAAATCACGTTAGTGAATAATGGAATTAAATAAATCAAATACAAGAATGTATTTCGGATACGTCTAATTCATACGATCGTTGATCCAAACAGACGATTAAGGAAACGAAGCCAGGAAAGCAAAGATGAGAGCGAAGCGAAACGGATCAGAGAAGGCATTTAAGCCCAGCGTGAATCGACAAAATAAGTTACAGACATGTGATGAATAGGGTAAGCAATACACGCACACACGATCATATAAGAACAGTCAGGAATAATAATGGGCGGATAAGTGACAGGATAAAAATGTGGCTCGAGAAGGACCAAAAGGTTGGTCTGTCCAGAGGCTAGAATAACTTATGTGTGCTTGACATAGTTCTAGCCACTGCAAAGGTATGAACCCCATTTCGTTTGCTTCGGTTTGGATAGTCAGTGTTACAAGTTCTAACATCCAAGTGTAACTCGATGAAAGGTACAAGAGTATGGGCCTAAATACTCATATTGTTTAAAAGGTAACTCATAGATTTGTAAAATATTATTACAAAAATTCTTGTTAACTGCTTATACTGAAGCTCGCTTAATACATTTAATTTTGATGGCTGGTCAGGTGGATTATTGTAGTACTTGTTTTGTCGTAAACTGTCCATCATATAAAATAAACACGTTTACAGATTCATCAGTTTCTAATATGTTATCCACATCTTAGAATTATTTCAGGAGGTCAAACAAATCAAATTATTGATTGATCAGTGATTTAGATGTCCTAGGACCTCTAATCTTAAAAATAGAATTTCACTTAATTCCTTTCGGAATTTTATTAATTAATTTATTTTTAATGAAAAGACTGAGGGAAATGTTCTACAAATAAAGGAACATAATTAAATATCACATAAGCTCAGGGCGATATTAGAGCTTAAAAATGAGGCGAACTGAGTTTTAAGGCAAAATATTCATTATAATAATTGAAAACCTTTGATCATTTGATATTGTTGATCGATCCTCAATTCATCAGGCTGAAACATTAAACCATTTGAGCTCAAATGATTTTCTCTGAGACTTGAAATCCCTATTCTAGGTCATGTGCACATTTCTAACCATTCCTTAGGTCAGTACACAAAACCGTTCAATCGCCTCTGTTATCCAATATATGTCAGCTCATGGTAATAATTACCTTTGGAATGTTCGTATTTGAAGATTATTTTCATGACAAATTGATGCTTGACAGAAAATCAATGAAAGCTATCGAGTACTTGGCAGATAAATCTTTGTGTTTAGCTTCGTTCTTACTAAAATTAAACAAACAGTAGGGCGTTTGTAATGTATATTCATTTAATTAGACAATTAAAATTCCTAGAAACGATTTATCGACAGTTTCGAATAAATTTGTGTTATTGCATATAACACCAACATACGGCAGTCGGTTATTTAAATTAGCAAGAACTATTCAAAAGTGTTGGTTGTCAAACTTTATTTTCAAATTATGTAAAAAGTAGTTATACTCCTGTTATGTCCCGATAAGCATAATGAATGATAACCTTTGGGATCCATTTATGGGCCAATACTATGCGTATATATTCATCGTATAATTGTTAAACTAAACTGTTCATATTCATATCCCTCTTATTATGAGCTTTATTTTGACCTGTGAACTGTTATTATACGATCTACCATTCTTGAATTATGCCCTGTCTATTAATTACTACCTCTCCCATTCACAGCCACATTTGGTTAATATTTGTACAAATGTTGTTTCATATTTTGTGGTACGATGTGGTCTGTCTGGTTGGTATATAAACACAGTATCCTTGAAATAAATGATTCATATTGCAGAGGCTGAGATTGATGTTCTGAACTTAACTGGCTAGGCTAGGCGGAAAGCAGGACCAATAAGGTTTCGAGACTGCTCGTACTTGGTTTTATGCGTCACTGGTCCGATCGATAATTCACTGCTCTCTGATTGGCGGTACCGTTACATTATACAATAAACAGGGCACACAGGTAAAAAGTTATAAAAATTGGTGACGGGGTAATGGGACGAAATTCAGTCCAATTATTTCGAGCAATCAGCATCCAGATATGTCATCGGTGTCCTTGGAAGACATTGGTTGTTAATTCGTCATACAGTATTTTTCATTACCGTGCTGGTTCAGAAAATGGCTATCTCTTCCGATCAATTACAGTTGCTATTTGAGCGACAGCAGCAGCGTTTCAAAAAGAGCCAGTTGAACTTTTTAGATAACTTACGGACACGGTTGCTAACTCACCTATGCCACAAGTTGTAACAACTCCAAAGTCTCAGAAGTTATTGGTCCGCGATTAAATAATGTTCTGAGTTCGTTCATCGAAAATATAGAGTGCGGAAGGTTCTTCATCGATGTAATTTGCTGCGTTAAGTTCGTCATCGGGCTCATCCGTTCTGTGTGGCCCTATGTCTGAATCCAATCGTCTGCTGATTTTTATCGTGACATACATGCCGCCAA